TCAACAAGTTGTGAGTGACAACCTTGTAGCAACTTGATAAAATAACAGCATTGTTACAACTTGTTGACAAGCTTGCTACAAACCTGTTGCGAACACATCTTGTTGACAAGATTTCTACGTGTGTACGACTAAATATCTTGGATTATAGTATCCTCGTGCAGTTCTGAATTGGCATCCTCCTCATGTAAGCATAGTCTAAGGTACGCTAAACTCGACTGCTGTCTGGCTATTAGGAATTATTCTTTTCGCATACTGGCGTAAGACGAAATCAATCGTACAAACAGATTGTTTTCGTGAGCAGTCAGTCGCACTAACCGTTGTGTTCGCACGTCAACAAGTTGTGTTCGCACTGCTTGTCCCAAGTTGTCAACAAGTTTGGAACAAGCTGTTAACAGTTGTAACAATCTTGTTGATATTATCAGACTTGTTACAAGGTTGTTCCAACAAGTCTGATCCAGTCATGATATAACAATATTGTTACAACCTTGTGTCGTCAACTTTGTAACATTCTTGTTACATCAAGATTGTATGCAGACTTGTTAGAGCAACCTTGTAACAAATCTGATAATGCCATCAAGCTTGTTACAAGTTCTTAACACCTTTCTCCAAACTTGTTACAACGACAGCTGTCGATAGCTTGTGAACAGATTTGTAACAACTTGTTTGTCGACCTGTAACAACCTGTGCGTTTTTACGCGTGTAGTGTCAATGACCCCTTTCACGCCGTTTCACCTTTGTCGTTCATAATACGTGAAGGGAAACATTGTCTTATCTTCTATGTCGTCTTATGTTCTATTTAGTCTGGTGGATCAACTGACTTCTTGTATCTAGTAGTGAGAAATTCTAGAATTTCTCAGAGAGCATCGAGCCGTCGAATAGATCAGAGTTTCATACAAGATGTCAATATTTGTAAAAGAATGTTGTGTATTACCCCCAACGAATTATTACGTATTGGCAATAAATTTAATCAGTGGCGTGCTGGGTACTAATTTTCTGGGGGGGCCAGTGGGCTTTCAACTAATATGCGCCCCTATATTGTAACGCTTGATAAACGAGTGTCGAAGGCACGAGCCGAGCGCCGCAGGTGCGAGGTTTGTCTAGGGGGGTCCGGGGGCATGCCCCCTCGGAAAATTTTTGAATTTAGGGTCTCTGAAATGCCATTTCCTGGACTTTGGGGGGAAGGATTGACAGAAATCTGATGGTCAGGAAACGGCATTATAACGTGTTGAAATTTGCAATTTGGTTAGAATTTAGTAGTAGTACTTAAATTGGGCAATGCTAACTCAGTTCCAGCTATTAATCTAATCCCAATTCTATTCTCTACTGATCTGGTGATCTGAATACATTTACAACATACAGCTCTTTTATATAATAACACGGCACGGACCCCACGCATATGCACTTTAAGGTTACCTTGCTTGACTGCCAAAAGGGCGCGTTTCAGCATTATCTTATCACTTACATTACTCATGAGTCATGATGTTTCTTGCACAAACAACTAAATTGCGTAC